TGCAGAATAGAGGGCTGTTTCTACTGGCAAACCTGCTCTATAATCATGTTACCCCTGGTGTAGAGAATAATCCCTAAGAAGTTCCTGTCTGATAAAATTATCCACCAGTTTCTATAACGGCTTTAATATAAAAGGAGTTAGACTTCTTCACTCCGTGTAGGAAGATAAACATTATCAACTTTAATTGTGAAAACTTTTGCTACGATTTTTATATTTTACAAAGCCTCCTTATAAAAATGCTGCTTTGCCGACAATCTTAACAGCTAATTGTTCAAAGATATTAGAATATTTTTATAAATTGCGAAATATAAGTAAGCGTTGAACATAAAATCTTACATATTTGTATTTTGCCGTACAAAATAAAAAAGACTATAACTGTCATTTGTTTTCAGGTTGATGTTAGCTTGTTTGTCTACGGGAGTATCGATCGCACTGTTCGGTAAAATATTTAATTGTTTTTGGACAAAAAATGACAGCTCTAATGTCAAAATTTTTAAATAACAATTGCATTAGTTTCTTAACTCAGTCTGTGTAAGGTTTTATGAATTGCACAGTAAAAAGTAAATCTTTTTTTAAAAACTATCTGGAATTAATTAAGTCTTGAAAGTAATGACATTCTAAATTTAAACTCTTCGCTTTGCGTGTAAATAAAGATAGGCAATGTGATTTTACAGTTCTACTTTTTTATATTGAGTGTACATTTGCTGATTTGGCACATAATTGCCTTAAATTCAGCATATTCTTAGATGATAATTAGTATGCTTTTCTCTTTAAATTCATTAAAAAAATATGATTTGAAATTAAACAAAGGCTGTCTTAACCCTTAAAGCTCACACTTACGAATCCATCCTCAAACCGCACCCTGGAAGTGCGACACCCGGGAACTTTAAAGTGTGTTCTCCAAGCTGGAATAGGATATTATCTTTTAGAAAAATTAATCTGATGTAGCTCAGTACATCTATTTTGAAGAAAAATAGGTTTAATAATGATTTATTTAATCTTGATAATTAAAAAAAAGTTTTTTAAAACTACTTAAATTACCTTAAACCGTAAACTGAGTGTCCGACACCCATGAATTTTTCGCCGTTCAACTTCATAAAGTTATCAAATACACAAAGACACTTAGGAGATTAATGATACTCACGGAACATAAAGTTAAGGCGTACTTGCGTTTGCGAAGGCAAAAAATAGGCCCCACTTTAATGATTTTTTTTAGTAATTTTATTTAAAATATTAAAACAGATTTTTTTACCTTAAAGTACATTCTAAAAACTACAAAAAGAAAAAATTGTTTCGTTTATAACAGTTATTTACGATTAGTAGAGGCCCCAAAAATGACGATCTTAAATTTGTAAGAGTTTGCGGTGCCCCACATAGAGCTGCTCCTGACAGTCTAAAATCAAAAAAACAAAATTTATTCTTTAGTATACATCAATATCTAGTGGACGTATATGATTAAATTAAAATAAAGTGAAAAAACGAAAATGCGGTACTTTTAAAGTCAAAAATTCAAAAGATCAAAATCATCATTTCTTAAAAAATGAATTTAAAAGTACCGTATTTTCGTTTTATTTACTTTATTTTAATTTAATCATATACGTCCACTAGGTATTAATGTAGGAAAGAGTATGCTACATTGAACCAGGTATTTTATAAAGTCCAAGAACTAATTAAATTTTACAAATTTTGATCAGGTTTTTGTATCAAAATAAAAGTGAAGAACTCCTTTAGTTAATACACACGTTACAAACTCAAATTATTATGATTAAATAATAAAATTTAATTTTTTTCTAATCAGTTACATTTTTCTTATTTTAAAGGATGTGTGTCTACATTGAACCACCTTTAATAAAATACTACAATTTACTTCGAAAATAATATTTCCACTTACACATTGTAAAAAATCTTATTTTCTACTCAAAAAAATAGAAAAATGTTGTTAAATAGTTATTGTTTGTTAATATAGAAAATTAATATATTTCGATGTCAGGTTAGGTAGCAAAAGTGACAGTTTAAGTTTATCTTGTATTTTTCTTACTAATTAGTAAAACAGACAACTTTACCACTCTTAAAATTGAAAAATCTTTGCTTTTTCGGATGGTTCAATGATGCCGCACTCACTGTTATCACATGACATTCACAACAAAAATTGTTTATAATAAATTTATGTAAGACTTAAAATTCTGTATCACATCGGAATATTGAAGTTGAGACCCTAAGCGAAATAAATCAAAAGTTTACTAATTTTTAAAACTTTCTATTTCAATAAAAGAACGTCATTATAATTCCACCAAATTTTTTGTTTTGTACGTAAAAACAGATTTTTTTAGTTTTTCTTTGCAAACAATAAACCTACTTGCCGGAAATTTTTGGACATAGTCTGTTTCGGTAATACTAACTTATATATTGAATAAGAAAAAATTGCACTCAGTCATTTCTCAGAAAATTGAAGTGGTTAACTGTTGACGCTGGTTCAATGTAGCCTAGTCTCCCCTATACTGAAGAATAAATTTTGTTTTTTTGATTTTAGACTGTCAGGAGCGGCTCTATGGGGGCACCGCAAACTTTTACAAATTTAAGATCGCTATTCTTTGGGCCCTTTACGAATCGTAAATAACTGTTAAAAAACGAAACAATTCTTTCTTTTTGTAGTTTTTATAATGAAGGGGAGAACGGGGCGAGGCAGCCAACGGGTGAAGCAGCCAATTGCTTCTTATTTCTGCATAATTTTTCCAAATCGTGCGCAATTAATAATTTAGACTGCTTATGGTAGTTTACTTTAGTTGCTTACAGATGGGCATTATTGCTGCAGCAGTTTAGCAATGACAGTATCATTTATGAAAACAGACTTTTTGGATGTAACTTTTCTAAGAGTTATTTTGGTGATTTTAGTTAATAGAGTTACACGAATAAAATTCTTGTAAAGTGATTTTTAATGCAGAATTTAGTGCTGAAGACGATGGTGTTAATGAAATTGCGATATTTTTAATATTACAGGTTTTGTGGATGTTTTCTTAAAAAAGTACTTTTGGGGTTAGGCAGCCAACACTAAATTTTTCGTCTTTTGTGTTGATTTTATTGGTTCTTCTTAATGTTTTCTCTTTTTTTCCTACTCCAATACATTTTAAACTTAACATTGAATTTTATAAACCATTTTTTTAAAATAACAAATTTATATTTTCTTAAAATGTTAAATTAAATTTAATTAATGTTATTATTATAATATTATTCAAATGTAAATTTTTGAAGTTTACCAACAAAATAAAAGTAAGTTAAGGACAACTACCTTGTTATGTTTCACTAATTTTAACTTTAAGTTATGTTTTTGTAACTATTAAAATAGTTGGCCGCCTCACCCCACGTTTTTTCAAAAATGCCAAAATGTAATCCATTGGAGAAAGGGTTGTAGAAATTTTTAAGTGCAACCTACGTCAAAATGTTCTATGGCGATTTTTTAGCCAATAAGACAAGCTTTCTAACGCGATATTAAAATTGAAAAAACCTATTTAAATAACTGCCTCGCAAACCAAAATGTGCCGTCTTGGCTGCCTCGCCCCGTTCTCCTCTACTTTAAGGTACAAAAATAGTTTTTAATATTTTAAATAAAATGACTAAAAAATAACATTAAAGTGGGGCCTATTTTTTGCCTTCGCAAACGTAAGTACGCCATAACTTTATGTTCCGTGAGTATCGTTAGTCTCTCAAGTGCCTTTGTGTATTTGATAACTTTATGAAGTTGAACGGCGAAAAATTCCTGGGTGTCTGACAACCAGTTTTCGGTTTAAGGTAATTTGAGTAGTTTTAAAAAACTTTTTTTTAATTATCAAGATTAAATAAATCATTATGAAACCTATTTTCCTTCAAAATAGAAGTACCGAGCGACATAAGATTAATTTTTCTAAAAGATAATATCCTATTCCAGCTTGGAAAACACACTTTAAAGTTCCCAGGTGTCGCATTTCTAGGGTGTGGTTTGAGGATGGATTCGTAAGTGTGAGCTTTAAGGGTTAAGACAGCCTTTCTTTAATTTCAAATCTTATTTTTTAATGAATTTAAAGAGCAAAGCATACTGATTATCATCAAAGAATGTGCTGAATTTAAGGCAATTATGTGCAAAATCAGCAGATGTACACTTAATATAAAAAAGTAGAATTGTAAAATCACATTGCCTATCTTTATTTACACGCAAAGCGAAGAGTTTAAATTCAGAATGTCATTACTTTCAAGACTTAATTAATTCTAGATAGTTTTTAAAAGAAGATTTACTTTTTACTGTGCAATTCATAAAACCTTACACAGATTGATTTAAGAAACTAATGCAATTGTTATTTAAAAATTTTTATACAAAAGTTGTCATTTTTTTATTTAAAAACAACGAAATATTTTACCAAACAGTACGATCGATACTCCCGTAGATGAACAAGCTAACATCAACCTAAAAACGAATGACAGTTATAGACTTTTTTATTTTGTAAGGCAGTATACAAATATGTGAGATTTTATGTTCAACGCTTACTTGTATTTCGCAATTTATAAAAATATTCTAATATCTTTGAAGAATTAGCTGTTACGATTTTTGTCAGAGCAGCATTTTTATTAGGAGGCTTTGTTGAATATTAAAATCGTTACAAAAAGTTGCCATAATGAAAGTTGATAATATTCATCTTCCTGCACGGTGTGACGGAATCTCGGGTTCTGTTGAATTCAGAGGTTGAGAGAGAGGAGAGTATGTTAAGTTTCGATTATTTTAAGTTTACATTAGTTAAAGCATTGCCGTTGCTAGGTGGAGTAATATAAGGTTTTAAGGAACAATTTTTCATTTGGAAATGTGTGTTCCCCCATTTATTTACTTTTTACAATATCAATGTTTATTTCTTTTTTCGATATTTTTCAATATACTCGACTCTTTCTTACAATGTTTTTTTTAATATTTAATACAAATAATACAATTTCTTTATTTTATAAAGAAAATGTTTTTAATAATAATAAATTTGTTTCAGCTTTGTTATGGAGCTTCATCGCCAGCGCTATCTGATCGAAATCGTTTTCCTACTCTTTTTAGAACACATCCTTCAGCAACTGTTCACAATCCTACAAGAATCAAGCTTTTACAAAAGTTTGGTTGGTCACGAGTTGCACTTTTACAACAAGCAGAGGAAGTCTTTATTTCGGTAAGAAAAAGTAATTGAATAATATTTGAAAAAAATCGTAGCACTATCACTCACTGTCTTCCTGACGGTCCTAAGTATCCTAAGTATTCCTTTTCTGACCGTATCCGGATACAGTCTCCCACGCAATGAATTAATGTGCTGGCCCACATGGACCCTACTTTTCTTAACTCGAGCACCCTGGTTACATTATTGCATTTTGCTTCTGTCAGCCGGTCTTCAAAACATCTAATTAACACTTTGATTTTTTAAGGGTGACATTTTGCGTCGCGGAGACCTTCCTGGAATCTGACTTAGAATTCCGTTTTCTTTAATATAACTATTAGCCAGTATGTGGTCCGTCCACATACTTTCCGCCAGATACTTGAGAAACTTGCTGTTGTCTCGTTGAACAGTTATTAGATCCCAGGATTCTTCGGTAATAAAATACCCATCCCCAAGATGTATACATTGAATCTTCTCTCCTGCATTTGTAATATTTTCGAATCTTTCATATCGTGGCAGGTTCATGATATCATCTCTATATCGATCAGCATTTAAACCAGGAGCTGTTAAGAGGTCACTTTCTACTCTCATATTTCTTCTCGGCAACGACGGACGAGATCTCCCTTGATTAGGAATTCCGTTTCTTTCAAGTCGATGATTTATTTCAACATTTCTCCTTCTTAAATTATCATTCAAATTCTCTTCATTATCATTCACTTTATCTCCATTTTCATTCTCGTCATGATTAGGTTGATTGTCATTAACATAAATATTTTCTACCCCATTTTCCCTTCTCATATTGTCATTTAATTCCTTTCCATTGTCATTATCATGTCTATCGTTAACCATCTCACCTTCACTGAATTGTGCCTCATTACGAAGTGTTGATTCATCATGTACACTTCCTTCATTTTCATTCGTTCTTATAGAAGACTGCGGCAACATGCTCTTCTGATGTAGGGCATTCATTTTTCTTTTTAGAATATTTTGCTCTCGTATTTTGGTAGATTTCTCCAGATTTGTCTTTTGCGTTTCCTCATTTTTTCCATTTCTTCATCTGTATCAGATTCGACAAAAGTATCTTCATCGTGATTACATTTAGCAAATCTCCATCTTGTATTTAAATGTTCTATTTGGTATTCCAAATCCTCCACAGAAACTCCTAAGCAGCATATTTGTGCCCTGTAATAGTAGGAATCTTCGTGCCATTTTACGAAATAGCACCGGAATCGATTAAAGTCCATCCTATGCTTGGGATTATTTAAACCTTTTACATTTTTTAATTCAGTTTTATAATTGGTTTTGCATGTGCAAAATTTGCAATATACATGGGTAATGTTTAGTTCCAACATTCTTAATTTTAAAACGTCAAATTTGATATGTTATTATAACTATCAAAAATACTAATTTATTTTTAACTGTTTATTTTTATTTAATATTTTATTTATTTATAACTATAAAAACACATTTTAAAGTTGTTAATAACACTAAATTATTTTATTGTGTTCAATACACAAATATTTTAAAGTTTATTTATACTTATTATATACTTTAAGAGATTAACATATAAATTAAATTTTATAATTAAATTATAAAAAATTTTTTTATAAAAAAACACAATCACTTTATAATTTTAACTTTAAATTTTACGAATCTGAAACTATTCTGTATTCTGGAAACGCTTGACTCGAAATGAAAATAATTTAATAAATATATATTCATTGAGACAAACCTAATAACTAATAATAAATAAGTATTTATTAATAAATAAAATATAAATTTATTTATTATTTATCAATTATTTTCATTTAATTATTTTTAAATAAATAAATAAAAAAAATTATAATCTTTTTAATAAAATTTTATTTAATAAATAAAAAGTTAAAAAATGTTTTTTAAAGATAAATTGCTTTCTAGGGTGTCCGTAAAAATGCGACTATCGAATTTTGTTTACGCCACCCCCTCCCCAGGGGGGAAAATTTTCTTTTTCGGGGGTATTTTGGATCGTTTATCAAGAATCTGATATTAGAAATTACTTTTCCAAAATTTTTGATCCAATATAGCCGACTCAAAATTTTAATTTTCCACATTTTTGAAGAAAAGATTCCGAAACACCGTCAAAGGGAATTTAATCTATAAATTAATATTTAAAATATTTACTTCAAAAATGGGAAAAATCAAAATTTTTTAGTCCGCCATATTGGATCAGGTAATTAAACAAATTTTTTTTGACATTAGATTCGTAAATGGCGCCTCCAAAAATCCCCTTTGTCTGTGTTTCGGAATATTTACTTTAAAAATGGGGAAAGTCAAAATTTTGAGTCTGCCATATTTGATTAAAAATTTTGAAAAAGTAATTTGTGATATCAGATTCTTGATAAACAATCCAAAATTCACACTAGTAAGAAAATTTGCTGAATTTCCGGAAAAAGTTATGTTATAAAACATTGCATACATTGCATTGTGGTGCATTTTATGACCTACTTTAAATATCCGCCATTTGAAAATTTTGGAAAATTAAATTTTTATAAAACTGCTATCCTGTAGTGCAGCTAAAAATGAAGAGATTTGTGACCTGGAGAATTATTTGAATTAAAATTCAAAAAATTATTATTTTTTTTAAAGTGCATTTTTTCCGTGTATTTTTAATGGAAAATTTCGATCGATTACTAGCACGTGTTAAAATTAATCAATCGACTTCAGATTTTGGAAAAAATAATTTACATATTAAAACTAAACTCGGGGTGACGTAAACAAATTTCGAAATAATAAATTTTCTATGTATCTTACCCTATTGCTTACGTGCACTTCTAATTTAATATATTTATACACTCGTATAAATAAAATGCTAGTTTATACAAGTATCCTCGTAGTATTTTCATTACAATGAAAGCTTTACAATCTAAACTTGTTAAATATTACGTCAACAAAACAACTTGAAGTTAGGATTACTCGCATTTGCATAGACCTCCCGTTTGCTTGGATTTTTCTTTATTTACATGATTAACAAGCCCACGGTAAAAACCATCAAAGGGCAATACAAAAAAAAAATTACAAGAGTTGTAAAGTTACGTAAGTGTAATAAGAACTAAAAGAAAAACAAAACGTCGTAATTTACTTATAATTAGAAAGAAAAAAAATTGAAAAATAAACTTATATAACTTTTTATTTTGGTATCGAAGACGCTTAACCTTATAATGACGTTGTTATAAAACAACTGCAAATTAAAACAGGATCGAGAAAATTAAATCATAATTATCTCGTAGATACAATATACTCTGTGAGTTTATCTTTATATGAGAGTAAGGACAAATAAGATAAATCTAGATCTATGTTGTGATGAACACACATTACATTTGTAACGATAGCGTACGCGCATTGAAAATGCAGCGGTACCATTGCACTCGGCAGCGTGAAGGAGAGACACGTACGCGCACAAGCCTTGCGTCGCTGACTCCCCTTCCCGCACCGTCACCGCTCTCTCGGCAGCCGTCTCTCTATATCCCTCGTTGCACGATTCTCAATTTTCAGTTCGCGGCTCGACGCCTCGAGGAGCACTTCGGGCAAGGAGCTTCGAACTCACTCCTCCTAAATACATCGATACCTTCACTCAAGGGGCTCTTGGTGAAGCTATCGATGAAAAAGGTTAAGTACACCTGGTTATGGGAGCACCCATGCTAAGGTGAACACCTTCATTCTCTCGACCTGGTCTCTGCGACTTCCCTGCGGGAGCTCTCACGAGAAAATGCGGAGACCAATGCACTCTACCACCTAGACTTCCTTGCGGGAGCTCTCACGAGAGGACCTCGTGGTAGAGGGTGACACCTGCAACCTGAAACTCTGCCCCCCAGGTGTATATAGGAGCTCATATTACACCTGAGGCTAAGCGACGGAGACGATTTCTTCCCTCAGGGAGCACCCTGGATAAGAAGTCGTCCGTTGAGTTTCCTATCGCAACCCCTGCGCGTCAAGCAAGAATGTCGGCAGCGTACCGACATTAGAGTTGGTCACTCGGTTACCAGTCAGGCCACTCCCTCAGAGTGCACGTACTAGTCGCGTTTGTCACGTTGGGCAATAGGGCGAATTCTAGATTAATTCCGCGTAGGGAAATTCAACATCTTGAGCTTAGCTAAGCAATGGTTTCTTTTATTTTTTTTTATTTTCAGGCGAGAGAACTTGGGTGTAAAACCTGCAGGTCAGGGGGAAGTCACTTCGGGGTAAAGCGACACGAGGCGAGACATTCGTTATTATTATTATTTTCTTATTTTATTGTTATTCTTTTACTACGTTTATTATTTTATATTTTTAGTTCTTTGTTTTATATTCTTTATATTTAGGCTACGTTACTATTTTGTTATTTTTCATTTATTTTATTCTTATTTCATTTTTATTTTGTTAATTTTGATTTAAACCTTTTATTCTTTATTTTGTTACAATATATTTATCTTACGAAGGTTTAATTGAATGTCTCATTATTGACTACACCTCTCCTCGAAATTACAGCAAATCAATTCTTAGATGGCGCTTCACGCCAATAACTATGGTTAATTATTTATTTAATTAATATTTAAGGGAACCCGGACTCCATCCGGCGAGCGAATTCCCAGCAAATAAAAAACCCAATCATTACATGGCGCCCGAACAGGGACTAGTTTCAAAGAAATATAAAAAAAAGTAAATATGAAAAAAAGAAAATGTAAGAAAGTATAATTTTTTTTTTTATTACTAGTTTAACAAATTTTGCTGTAGTTTGGTGGAGAACTCGTGTCGCTGCCATCGGAAATGGTGGGAGAAGAAAAAAAAAGGAAGGGGTAAAGAGTAGGGGTAAAGCGGATTATTATATAAGACCGCGTTCCAATAAATTTCTTTCTAATCGATCAGTACCACTCATCGAAAAATCACCTGTAAATCAAGAAAGAAGACTTCATCATGCCCTTCTCAAACAACCGAGTTTTTTGGATTTTTGAGAAAATTAGATATTCTTTTCCATCTGTGAGTTTGTGGGAACTCATGCAGAG